CACAATTATCACATTTAATTTGATATCTAACAGGCACGACTGGACTGATTGGGTTATAATGGCCCGGTGAACTGGGGTCACATGTAGACTGTACACCTCGATCAGGTGTGAGGTTCAGTACTCTGTCCATCATCTCATTCAAATCTGTGTTAATGGGGTCGTAATGAATTCATTAATTACTGCACCTATTAATGAATAATAAAAACAGTAAGATAAAAAAATAAAATGACACTCAACAAAATCATTATAGGTGATCATATAAAGCAATCCAAGACTTTCTAAATGAGGCAATTCCTTTATGGTTGGTGGATAGGCTTGGAAAATATTGTGAGATCTTTCTTGCTTTTAGGAATTATGCACGTCTCAAGATTAAATTCCATATTGTAAACAGACACCTGTGGTAATTTGGTAATGAAACTGGGACGTTCATTTAATGATTTCAATTATTTAGCATCAGAGATGACATTTTTAATTCATGCAGACTGTCTCAAGATACGCTCAAATAATATGACAATATACGCAAATACATGTTCAAAGTAGAACTTACTGAAGCGAGTCTATCGAAGTGATCGAATTTACCAGGTTGTTCATGTGGAAGTGAGTATTGTCAATCTGTACATAAAATTTCAGGGTTTGAAGGTAGTAAAAATGTGATATTTTAAGAAATATTCCACCAATTAATTTGAAAATAAACAGGGTTCAACCTTTTACAATGCCACATAAGTAAGTGAAAGCTAAGGATTGATAGCTAGTCCCCAGTTTTTCTTTAAATCTTGCCCACAAGCTGTAACAGACACACTAAAACACATATGCACAGTAGTGATGCTGTTAGTTTGTGAAGTTTGCTTTCATATGCATTACAGACCTATACTTCAAATCAAATCATAATAAGGTTTAAATTAAAAATTTCAAGATTTTTTTTTACCATACACAAATTGCCTGTTAGATGTTCAACAGCTGTAAGCTTTTTTTTTTTTCATTGTGCATCTTCAGATACTGTAAAATAAGCATGACCTACAGTACACATAGACCTGGGCATCTTATTGAAGCTAGGATCACAATGTAATACTGGGCATCTTATTGAAGCTAGGATCACAATATTTAAGAAATAAACAACTTTATTCAGTGAACATGGCGTTATGAATAGCAATTGCTCTGCTGGCATATTCCATGATGCGCGCTAGCGCATCATGGAAAATATGCCAGCAGAGCTATTGCTATTCATAATGCCATGTTCACTGAATAATCGTTGTTTATTACTTATATTTGCATTCTTTGAGTTTTTCAGAATATCAGAGGAAATCCTGACTTACATAAGGACGCAGCTTCTTGTCTTTAGTAATGAAAAACATACGGCTTTAAAATCACTACACCTGATCAATGATCCTTTTCTCTAATAAATCACAAACAATTTATTAAGTATTTCCCTCTCAAATACAGTTATCTATCTGGATACAAGCAGCGCCGTCATCACATTCTCTTAATTTTTGTTTTGATGCAGTTGTGACGTCATCGACCAACGTTATTGAAACCCTCTGACAAAAATCAATAATTTAAATCTATGATGAAAAATAAGAATGCCTTTATTATGATTATTACTCTAGAATGCTTTTCTATGATTTTTTTTTTTTTAGTTTTTCTATTTATTTTTAATAGCTGAAATCATTCTTGAAGTAGATATACTAGTTAAATTTTCTCTTTCTGAATGTTATTACCCAAGTGTGAAGAGTTATCGTTCTTTGTACAAATATGCATGATACGAAAAAATATAAATATAGCCGTTCTCTAAATTTTTAAAAAGTTTTATTATACAATTAAATACATTGACCAAAATTAAATTTTTAAAGATATGAATCAGCAATTTTAAATATTCTGAATTTCTTTTTTTTTTTTAAAGAATATTATTAAAAACCTATATTTATTCCTCTTACAAAACATTTTATATATATACTTCTAAACACTCTAAAGAAGTGTAGTAGAGCTTGTTCTGCACGAGTGTGATAGAGCAATTGCACACGTGGCAGATGCAGTTGCGCCTCTAGTGCTATGAACGCAGTTGATGACTACATATTCATAGTGGGAGAGAGCAGTGAATATGCAAATATAATACTATGTACCCCAGAAATTTACTTTCTCATGTATTAACAAAAAGTTTTGCTCATATTAGGGATGCTTATAATGTCCTTTAAACAATACAAAACTGTGAACAAGGCCTTGGACATCCCAAAGGTAGGATCAGGTGCCTACAAGGAGGAAACACACTTTGTTGACTGGTCACACTAACCGCGAGTCCTTTGTATTGACTAAAGTAGGTCGGAACTTTTCGTACAGATTCAGTAAAAAGAAAAACAAGCAAAGAGAACAGTTTATAAATGTCAAAATAGGACCCAAATGATAGGTAATATGCGTGAACAAGGTCATTATATCGACATAGAAATTACAAATCACTGTCTTCAAACGAGGTTGTTGAAATCCCTGTAACCTAAAGTATCAAAAATAAGAGTTAAATACATAATTAATTATAGGAGATACAATTCTAAAAGCCAGAGAAAGTTTAAACTAGACAAAAGAGGGTATATTAAAGTAGCGACAAAAAATTGTCGGCGTAAATGTTGAAATGATCTCGTTTGTAATACAATGTAGTTGTGAGATGGTATCGTCGGCATTCCTATAAATCTAGAGTTACAGTTATGCATTACTTATTAAGAATCTGGTATTGGTATACCATACATTGGACAAACTTTTGAATTTTATCTAATTTTTCTTTTTTTTTCTTTTAAAGTCTTATATGATAAAATAATTAATTTATAAGGTTTTCAAATAATACACTAGCTGTGTGTATCAAATTTCTGAACTTTTTTCCACTGCTAAGAAGTTTTTAACAGTTTTGTCAGATTATTTGTTTTAAATCAATAATGTTCATTCGTTTTTAAAATTTTACCTCTTGTTTTATTTCAAGAAATGAATATTTTATTACTTCTTTCAACTGTGTTTACAATTACTTCACAAAGTTTAATTCCTTGTAGTATAGTTATCATTTTATCTTACTGCAAGAATAGGAAGGGAGGAGGTATACATTTTTATATATGTAACAAGAAGTTTTTATTCATCATAAAGATTTTATATATACATGTATTTTATGATTTAACATTAAATTATACAAGCAATGTATGTACACTGTACCTGTTTTCAATAATAAAATATTTTTGAACCTATTTATAAAGTTTTTGTCTAAGCAGCATTGTAAAGTGTGTGTCATTTCAATCCTTTTGATAAATTTCTTTTTTCTTTACACATATGTAGAAGAACTGCCTCTGTGATTTTAATATACTAAGGACAAAAAAAATCCATGTGCACCAACATTTATGTCATCCATTTCTGTAGGAGTCAATTCTGAATTCAGATCATTTTATCAAAGTCCATTACCGCAGTGCCTTTGTCAATGTAACCACCATTTTTCAAGAAGTCAATTTTCAAATTGGTGCATATAAATCCTTATAAAATTCATACTGAAATGAAAGGATATACCACAAAAGTAAATGAAAGGTAGTTTATTATACAATATTAAGAATTCATTTACTTCTATCCCTTAAATTCTGAGTTACACAGTAAATATTTTTTCTGAAATCTTGTATTTTAATTGCAATTTCTGGATCTGCACTGCCTTCTCATATCCAATTGAGGACTAATTTATTTATTTTAATTAATTTCATCAATATTTGTCAGGAATTCATTTGTTAATATTAGTTTAATTATACCTATTTAATATATAGGTTCATTAATTTATGACACCAGATTTTAACAAAATTACACTTGACTATACATCAATTTTAGGACAAAAATTACACTTGACTATACATCAATTTTAGGACAACCCTTGTACAGTTACTTAATATCCCCTTGAAAGGAAAATTTCTCTAAATGAATATTTCACTTCAATTCCTTATAAATGTAAAGAACTCATATTATTTCTAAAAATGCCTACTTTGTGGTAATGTTTCCTATAGCTGTCTGCAATGCTACCATGATGTATTATAATAGATAACATGAGACTGCTTTCCACAAAGAGAACTGTCGAGTGTTCTCAAAACTAACACAATTTCAGCAACTATCGATAGCTTTGGTGTTCATTTTAATCTTCTTAAAAATTAATTTACTGGCCTGTGATCAAATATCATAATGTGCAAAAATCTAGATGAGTTATCATTCATTAATCTAGGAAAGTGAGATTTTTCCAATAATCGTTGGTTGGCTTTAATGATTATGTTACAGCAACTTGACTTCCAAACTCCCACATGTACAAATATTTGAACAAGTGAAAAAGAAATTCTAGCAGCATATTCTAGTCATTTACAATGACAGTGCATACAAAGTACAGGTAAAGAGAAAACTTTCCTCATTTCTCAATAATGTACCCTGAAAATTAATTCTGCTAGCTACTTTGACTTGTGACATTGAAAATCAATATTTATCATAATTTTAGCATTATAATTTTTTTTTTTTAATTTCCTTTGTTGACTTTTATCTTAATGGCTCTTGAAATAAAATAAAATATCATAAAACAAGAGATGTTTGTAAAACATTTATACCCCCCTCCCCCAAATAATTGGAATTTTTCTCAGTTCAAGGGGCTTAATTCTATCCGAAGTGGCTCCATCTTACCCAAATCTAAATTTGATCTAGATTTTTTTACCATAAATCTGTACACCAAATTTCATTTTCAATACGTACAATCTCTGCAGAGAAAATGAAGGGAAACTGCAAATAATTGCAATTTTTCTAAGTTCAAGGGGCATAAATCTGTCCAAAATGGCCTGATCAACCCAATTGTATCCCAAACTGAACTTGATCTAGATCTTATGATAAATCTTTATACCAAATTTCATTTCATTGACATATGTGCAACCTCTGTGAAGAAAATGAAAAAATGAATGGAAACTGATGGTGGACCGACAGACAGTGAATGGTCTAAGACATCACTAATGCCTTGTAGCAGTTACCTCTCTTTTGCAGGTCCAGCTTGTCTCTTCTTTTCTTCTTGTTTTCAGGTGTGTCATACTGGTCTCTACAAAATCAATCAATCAATCCATCAATTAATCAGGTGTTTCATACTGGTCTCTACAAAATCAATCAATCAATCTACATAAAATAATGTATATTGAGAATGGTGATTCAATTTTTTTTTTTTTTTTTTTTTTGCATTGTTCAGAAATCATAAAAGGATTCCTGTTTACAGTTATTCATAAACTACAAAACTAAATGAATGCAGGCAATCTATAATAGAGGCAGGATCTCTTATTGTTTGAATGTTCAGATATATGGCCAACTTTGTATTGCAAACAAAGCAACATAATAGTACAACTTATGACACTTCATGATTTTCATTAGTTCTATATAGTTTTGGCATGGATGCTTAAGACACTTGATAAATAGAACCGTTTCATATACTTTAATCAAACCAATTTTTGAAGTAGATTCACTAAAGCCTGAACTAGCAGTTTGCATCCACAAGATGCACAATTTATTGCACTGCAGCATTTTGGTAAATGCCAGGGTTTAATCTAACCTAGTATTAGCCTGGATCCAGAGGTATGCAACCCAAGAATGGTTTATATGTATTCCTCATGCTTAAAGCTCCTAGAAGGAAAATTCTCAAAAGGAACTTGTCAAGTTGAATGGTGCAAGAGGGGTCAGCAATGAAGCTCTCTTAGATTTAAGATTTCACTAGATGCTGTCATGAGACAGTAATACCCGCACTAAGGTGTTTGCCTCTAAATGCACACTTCTTCATATTGGGCTTTACCACGGAAAAAGTCAATATAATTCAATAATTTACATAATACATGTATTCTTCAAATTGAGCATAATATGCTCAGGTGACCATGTAGCTGCAGATCTGCAGCGTTATGGTTTTATATATTTGTCTTTGACCATAACGCTACCGATCCCCATATGCAAAAAAGGTGCAATTTACGGCGCAATATTTTTTGCGCACTGTTGGGCAGAATTTCTCCACTTTCTAGCATTGGTCAATCAACTACCTTTCACTCCCTAATTTTAGACACATTCTGTAGTCAAAATGTATATTTTGTCCACCTCTCAGCCATTTATAGTCATCTCTACAGGCAATAAACTCGCTTGATGTGAATTTTATGCAATCTAACAAATAATTTTAATCAAGCGAGTTTATCTCGTGTAGAGATGACTATAAAAGGATTGGAGATGGATAAAATATACAGATTAGTTAAATAATGTGCCTAGAATTAGGGGGTGAAAGGTAGTAAATTGACCGATGCTGGAAAGTGGAGAAATTCTCCCCAGAAGTGCGCAAAAAAATATTGCACTGTAAATTGCACCTTTTTTGCATTACAGGATCTGTAGCTTTATGGTCAAAGACTAATATATAAAATCATAACGCTATACAGATCTGCAGCTAGTGACCATGTGACCCATGGGCCTCCATCTTATAGATATTTCATATTCTTAATTCATTACCAGTCGGAAATTAAACAACAGAATTAAATTAATGATGTAAATTAGGTTTGATAAGGGGGGGGGGGGGCACATAATTGGAACTTTTAAATATATTTTCTCATATAGATTAACAACAAATAATATTATTCAAATTAGTGTAAAGCGTTTTTGATGAATTTTTCAAAATGTGCAAAGTTTATTTATATTTGATTAGGCAGAAACTTCTTGAAAGCTGCCATATACACAATCAATTTAGTCAACCCCGACCCCTCTCCCATCAACACACACACACAAACACACCTTACTTGCCTGTTTTTGGAAATAGGCCTAGATGGCAAAGTCAAAATAAAACATCTTTTGTAAATGATAATTTTCAATTTGTTCTTGCACTATACATGTATCTGAACACCTGCATCACATTGGGCTTGCGTCACGTACCCAACTTAAGTACTAGTTTTACCACTGGCATCATTTTAGATTTCACTGCACGTGCAGTAGGCTACTAGTGTGCATCATTGCATATATGTCAGTAGGAATTATTTTATTTTGTGTTTTAACTGGATTATAGTTCATGAAGATAACAGTGCCTAAATAATGACAATCGGTAAGTACAAGTTTTGGTATAGATTTGGGTAAAATAGTCTGAAATGCAAACGGTTAGGTTCAGCATCGGATGACCTTTGATCCTTTAAACTTACAATGGACGAATTTCACATTCTGAAGAGTTATCCCCCGTTATCAACGTTACATTCAGTTACAAGATCCAGAATTTTTTTTTCTGGGAGGGAGGTGGGGAAGGGGGGGGGGGTTCCAGACCAGAATTAGCCTGGTTCCCTGTCCCTGTTTTGCTTTATATACTCCGTGTCACTAGGGTCAGGTGGAGTACAATGGAATCCACCTGGCTCTCCTGCCTTGGCAAGGATGAGACAGGGGACCAGGCTAAACCAGAATTTCCTGAGAAGCAAAAAAAAAAAAAGAAGTTATGGTTGGGTCTGTTTTCTAGGGTGGAGGGACACTTAGGGCATCCAAAGTCATTTTTATTTCCTCCAGTATATATTATAGTCCTGCAAATTCCGGGGGGGGGGGGGGGGGGGTGTTGAGGGGGGGGGATCTCCCAATCCACTTCCCTGTCCCTGTAATGACAAATGATCATGTGACTCCTAAATAGTAGGAAACTTTTTCCATTTCACTATATATAATTTTGTTTCTTGTGTTATTATGTTATGTAAATTTAATGGTATAAAGGTTATGAACCCCTAGAGGTCATCCCCACTCTCCTAATGAGCTGAAATGTTCACAATATGACTACATTAAATTGAATAAAAGTGCATCAATGATAAGATTACTTGACATTTTATTCATGAATTTGTGTCAACCTATCTTCCTAGAATTAGGAATGAAAATCATTCAGAGATGGACCACATTAAACTATTTGTGTAAACATTTTTTTAATGTAAAAACAAGTAGTAGTTTGCATACATGAACATTGAACAGGGGTCTGGGAAGGGGTGAGGGGAAGGATCGAGTTAATTTTTCTTTATATACGTCTTAATGGTTGAAAACTCCTAAAATGAATGTTGACCTCAAATCTAACTTGTCCTCATTATTTTTCAAGTGGTGGTGTCTCCATATGAGTGAAAAATACCTGAGAGGGATGTTTAACAACAAACAAAATGACATAAAAACACAATATTGATTTGCGTTAAGAAATATGCAGGGGATTTTTTCCATCATAAATCTTCTTCTCAAGAACAGCAAGGGCATTATTGTCCCCCATTTTGGGAAAGGGAGGGGACATTAAATCTCATTTGTCTGTCAGTCTGTCCATCTTATTTACAGCTAGTATGTGCATTTGTCACAATAAATTTAACCTTGGTCATAACTTTTGAATAATAAGAGATTGTGCTTTCATATTTCACATGTACATTACCACAAAACTTTCTAAATATACTATGATTTTTTAACCGAAGTGAGACCTTGACCTTAAAGTTTTACCTACTTTCCAAAAAATAACATTTTAAATTGATCATTTTGAAAGAGAAAAGAAAGGGCATTCAAATTATACATGTTTATTACATGTGAAAAGACTTTTCTAAATATATCATGACTTTTGACTCTGTGACCTTGACCTAGAAGTTTAACCTACTTTTCAAAAATATTATATTGTATATATAACTTTTGATTCAAAAGAGATAGGACTTTCATATTTGACATTTACATTACCTGCAACAAAATGTTTCAGAGCATGCTATGATTTTTCCCCTTTGACCCAATTTTCAAAAATTGATATATGATAGGGGTGCATATTTGACACACAATCTGCCATAAATTATGGCATCCCATTCACTAAAACACAGAAAGCAGAGGACCACAATTCTTGGGTGCATATTTGACACACAATCTGCCATAAATTATGGCATCCCATTCACTAAAACACAGAAAGCAGAGGACCACAATTCTTTGAATTTGCTTGTATAATCTTGATAGATGGAAACATCCTCATATAATGTAGATTCAAGTTTTTTATGCCACACCATGATTAGGAATACATACATGTATAGTTTTTGTCATGTCCGTCCTCCACCCTTCCATCTGTCTTTCCATCGGGCTCAAAGAAACTTTCTAGATATTTTTATCAAAGTTCATATGTTGATGCATACTGATGTAAATATCCAACTGCAGCAATATTTTTTGACTTTGACTTTTCCTTTGACCTAATTCACTTAACTTTTCTTTAAATCAGTGTTTAGCTTTATTTTAAAGAAACCGTTCAAGTTGTGTAATGAAACTTCACATGATGATACATACTGATGTAAGCTTTACAATGCTTCACTCTTTTTTACCTTGACCATTCCTGTGACCTTGACCTCACTTTTCTAAAATTAATATCTAGATCAGTTTTGAATAAACAATTCAAGATATATTTATCAAACTTCATATGCTGATACATACTGCTGAGAGCTATTAATACATCAACTCATTTTGACCTTGAATTTTCCTTTGACCTTGACCTCACTTTTTAAATTATGTGTTTATCTAAGTTTTAAATAAACCATTAATTATAGTTTTATCAAACGTCATATGCTAATAGTCAATTCATACTGATGTAAGCTTTTCAACTGCAACAACATTTTGGCCCCAACCTTTCCTTTGACCTCTCTTTTTTTAAGAAAAAGATGTTAAGCTCAGCTTCATTAAATCATTCAAGATATTTTTATCCAACATAATATGCTGATATGTATTAGTGAAGCTACTCACCTGCATCAAAAACTTCACCTTGCACATTCCTGTGACCTTGACCTCCATCCTTTTTAATTTGTATTTCGCTTAGTTTTAAACAAATGATTTAAGACATTTTTAAAACATCATTTTTCGACCCCCATTAGTCCCCCCGTTGCAAAATCAACATTCTGAAACCTTACTGCACATCTACACGACACCGCCAACCATCTCCCAAAAGATGATTAGCCTACTGTGTAAAATGTAAGAGGAGTTCAGGGAAGACGGGGCTCTTTGCATAAAAAACGTCATTTTTCGACCTCCATTCGACCCCCCGGGGCAAAATCAAAATTCCGAAACCTTACTGCACATCTACACGACACCACCAACCATCTCCCAAAAGATGATTAGCCTACTGTGTAAAATGTAAGAGGAGTTCAGGGAAGACAGGGCTTTTTGCATAAAAAACCTCATTTTTCGACCCCCATTTGACCCCCCGGGGCAAAATCAAATTCCGAAACCTTACTGCACATCTACATGACACCACCAACCATCTCCCAAAAGATGATTAGCCTACTGTGTAAAATGTAAGAGGAGTTCAGGGAAGACGGGGCTTTTTGCATAAAAAACATCATTTTTCGACCCCCATTTGACCCCCCGGGGCAAAATCAAAATTCTGAAACCTTACTGCACATCTACATGAACCAACTAAACAACCAACAAAATCGGATAAGCCTACTGTGTAGAATGTAAGAGGAGTTCAGGGAAGACGGGGCTTTTTGCATAAAAAACGTCATTTTTCGACCCCCATTTGACCCCCCGGGGCAAAATCAAAATTCTGAAACCTTACTGCACATCTACATGACACCACCAACCATCTCCCAAAAGATGATTAGCCTACTGTGTAAAATGTAAGAGGAGTTCAAGGAAGACGGGGCTTTTTGCATAAAAAACATCATTTTTCGACCCCCATTTGACCCCCCGGGGCAAAATCAAAATTCCGAAACCTTACTGCACATCTACATGACACCATCAATCATCTCCCAAAAGATGATTAGCCTACTGTGTAAAATGTAAGAGGAGTTCAGGGAAGAATTCCGAAACCTTACTGCACATCTACATGAAACCACCAACCATCTCCCAAAAGATGATTAGCCTACTGTGTAAAATGTAAGAGGAGTTCAGGGAAGATGGGGCTTTTTGCATAAAAAACGTCATTTTTCGACCCCCATTTGACCCCCCGGGGCAAAATCAAAATTCCAAAACCTTACTGCACATCTACATGACACCACCAACCATCTCCCAAAAGATGATTAGCCTACTATGTAAAATGTAAGAGGAGTTCAGGGAAGACGGGGCTTTTTGCATAAAAAACATCATTTTTCGACCCCCATTTGACCCCCCGGGGCAAAATCAAAATTCCGAAACCTTACTGCACATCTACATGACACCACCAACCATCTCCCAAAAGATGATTAGCCTACTGTGTAAAATGTAAAAGGAGTTCAGGGAAGAAAAGTGTGACAGACGGACGGACGGATGGACGGACGGACGGACGGACATGAGTAACAACAATATACCCGAACTTTCTTTAGAAAGTGCGGGTATAATCAAGGTATGCTAGTGTACAAGTATTGAGAATTTAATGTATTTTATTAAAATACAAATCCCATCTCAATTTTAACCTTCGTACATTAAATTGAAAGCAATCATGTTCATAAATGACATTGATCTTGTCAAGTAAACCATAACATTTAATAATAATCAATATATTCATTCTATAATTAATTAATCTTTAATGATAAATTGATTTTTAGATGTGAGGGTACAACTGATGTTGGTCTTCTATTCTTTGGCTTATATGGTACAAAATCTGGTTTAATTACTCAGGGGCCACCCATAAAACAGTGGTTGAATGACAAATTAGGCCTTAACTATCTTCATTGACTTACTTCAAATTGATTTATTTTCTTCTTTATCATATCAAAATAAACCTTAAATTACTAATACACAGCAAAAAATTTATGCACATAGTTATTCAAAGATTACATTGCCCAGGTTAAAAACTTAATATTATCATTAATGGCAAGGGGCCTGCATACCTTACCTGAAGCATTTACACCTGGCCAGACCTAGACCAAACAAGAGATGCTTGTAAAACATTTATACCCCCTCCTCCAAATAATTGGAATTTTTCTGATTCCATGGGACATAACTGTCCAAAATGACCCGATTGTACCCAAAACAGAAACTAACCTAGATAATCTTATAATAAATCTGTATACGAAATTTCATTTCAACATGTGCAACCTCTGCAAACAAAATGAACGGAAACTGATGTTGGACCGACAGACTGAGTGATCACCTTACCTGAAGTATTTACATGTGGCCAAACCTAAACCAAAGAAGGTGACAAAGGCGCATATCACCTTACCTGAAGTATTTACACGTGGCCAGACCTAGACCAAAGAAGGTGACAAAGGCACACATCATCTTACCTGAAGTATTTACACGTGGCCAGACCTAGACCAAAGAAGGTGACCAAGGCAAATATCACCTTACCTGAAGCATTAACACCTGGCCAGAACTTGATCAAAGAAGGTGACAAAGGCACACATTATCTTACCTAAAGTATTTACATGTGGCCAGACCTAAACCAAAGAAGGTGACAAAGGCACATATCACCTTACCTGAAGTATTTACAGGTAGCCAGACCTAAACCAAAGAAGGTGACAAAGGCACACATCATCTTACCTGAAGTATTTACACGTGGCCAGACCTAGACCAAAGAAGGTGACAAAGGCAAACATCATCTTACCTGAAGTATTTACATGTGGCCAAACCTAAACCAAAGAAGGTGACAAAGGTACACATCATCTTACCTGAAGTATTTACACGTGGCCAGACCTAAACCGAAGAAGGTGACAAAGGCACATATCATCGCCCATAGCAGGATTCCATCAGAGCCCTCCCCCACAGACACACCTATATAATCAAAGAAATACAGTTGTTTACATATGCAACACTTAGGAGTAAATAAATTTTAACTGTGTCTACCTAATGGAAAAGACTGCCTAAGTATTGTTGAAAGCTCAGATAAAGAGTGATAACTATACATTATAACAAGATATGTATTAAGCAACTTATTTTTACTTGATTATTTTTAGGCCTCCATAATTGAAGATTCGGGGTCATAGTTTTTGCCCCGTCCACCCATCTGTCTGCCTCTCTGTTTGTCCTCAAAAACTTTAACCCTTCTCATAACTTTTGAGTGGGTCACGGTGGGGCAATGAATGTCATATTTCACAGGTGTTTTCCTTGTGACAAGACCTTACTTTGGATACCACCAAATTTTGATCTCTTGACCTTGGAGTTTGACCCACTCTTACAAAAATTTTTTAACATTTTAACCATTTGGCCATAACTTTTGAACAGAGAGAACTAGGGCTTCATATTCCCTTTCATAGACCTTTTAAATATTTTTTACCTTGACCTTAGAGTTTGACCCACTTTTTAAAAACTTTAAAACTTAGCCATAACTTTTGAACAGTCTGTACTATGGCTTTCTTATTTCTTTGTGACAAAACCTTACGTTGGGTACCAATCTTGACCTTCTGACCTTGAATTGACCTTTGTAGTTTGACATGCATTTGAGAAAATTCAACCCTTGCCATAAGCTGCCATACAGGGACATCAGTGTTATGCAGACTACATCAAAATTTCAATAATTAGGGATCATGTTCAGTACTTACGTGAACTCTTTTAGATTTGCAGACAACAGTTTGCTGATGGCAATGTTGAATAACATTTTTATTTTGGACTGCTAAATGATTTCAAATTCATTTCAGCATATGTAATATACAGACTGCTATTGATGTTAATCTGTCATTTAAAGAAAAAATCTTTTGCATGAAATTTAGAACAGCTACAGAGGATCACTAAACCTTAAGCCCTGAAGTCACTACTTTGAAATTGAAGCAAATTTCAGCAACCTCGCATGCAGTATGCAGATATTACACAATGAACCAGGTTAACATTATAATGGCAAGGTATTTTGGTATCACATACTCATTTATTTACCATGCCTGTGATTTAAACCAATGATGGACCATTGATAGACATCTTCTGAATAGGATTGATGGATTGAGATCAGGAGACTTTTCTATACAATGGATAGCATCCACTAAATTGTTTACATCAGGGAAATGAACATACATCAGTAATGTCAATATGGAGGCATTAGTACTGTCAATATTAACTTTGTGGGCCCACAATAAAGAAAATACCAAACTGCACTATATGACCACATGGAGGCATAGACAGTAACCATACATTATAGCTACAGTCTCATTTTCAATATGTCATTGACTTGCTATATGTTTACTTAAAAAAGCAGCCTTGATATTTTAAGTGGGTTTGAGGATGGCAAAAAAGTGCTAATTCATCAATACAATCTACAGTCACTCATCTGGAAAATGTGATTAAACCCAGGATCTGAAGCAAACCTTGTAGTGTACATCCTTAGATGTATCATCTATACAAGTTTGGTCAACATAGGGCTTATCCCATAGTTCTGCTCCAAGAACATACCTGGCCTGGGGGCCATAAAACTAAGACAAGCTCACTTTTGATCTCAGTCTCACTTTTTCCAAAGGAACTAACAGCGGAAAAATGAGACTGAGATCAAAAGTGAGCTTGTCTAAGTTTTATGGCCCTCAGGCCTGGTCTCTCAACTGGAAAATGTAGGTCAGATCCAGCATCCGAAGCAAACCTGGTAGTTGAAGTAGATGAATAGACCAAGAGACATTGGGAAATGGATGGACATTTTTACCTAATACATCTTAAGAATGGAATTTGCTCCACAATCTTGCAAATTATTTTAAAGAGTAATTGAAAAATGTCATTATTTCTGAGAGACATTGAGCCAGTATTGATCTGACAAAGCAAAAAGTTCAGAAATACTGGATAACAGTTATTAAATCCCAGACTAGATGAAAAATACTATAAAGCAAATGACAGGAATTGGGTACATCTGTCAAATGTAACACAAGTTAAGCTTAAAGAATGCAAGAGGAAATCAAATTATATCACTTGTGACAGATTGTCTGTAAATTCCTGTTACAAGGAAAATTGATCTAGAGAAAGCTTGTCAGGAAAGTTTTTGTCTGGTGACAATATCAAGAGTTTAAAAAAAAATCCTTCTTTTATGTGCACAATGTAGCACCAAAATTCCTGAAAAAAGGATGCATTTTATTGAACAACATTTAATGTTGAAGCACTATATCCAGTAGGATAAATATGTTTACAGATTATTTGGTGCCATGGGTAGCTTGCATATTATATATATTATGCATTACTTAGATAAGAAAGCTTAATTTAGTTCAAGAGCTAATGTATTTATAAATGATACCTAAATTATGAAAGAAATATCATTAAACAAATTTCTGAGATATTTGGATACAATGCTCTTCAAATTTCCTTCATGCTCAGAACATTGAGAATGCACATTTTCTCCTTGGATCCAATAAAACCAGTTGCTCAGAAATATAGTTGACAAATGTCAATAATTCATACACTTTATTTCAGATAAGCTAACTGTATTTTGCATGGCTGTCAATCTAATAAAAAGAACTACCGGTAGTTACCCTAGACAATGCTTCTGACCACAATCAAAACCAAAGCATTTTACTTCAAAATGTGCAAAATAAAACCAGTCACGAATACCTTTGCTTACTAATCAGTGATAAATCTATTGGCTAAAAATGGCAAAAGTAAAAATTCTTTTTTAATTTTCAATTTTTTTTCATTTCCAAGTTTTCTCATTCCTTTATATAACTATTTAAACTAAAAAAAAAATCCTGGACCTACCTACTCGAGCTGTCCAGATGGGAATAAACATTATAACAATTTAAGGTGATTAAACATCCTTATTGATAGTTCATTCTTATCAATTAATTTCAATAAAAAGTAACACAACAAATATTATTGTCAAAAATGTAAATTATAAGGATTTTTTTGTTTGAGAACATTCCTGGTTGCTAAATCAAAGAGATTTCATTTCATCAAGAAGATCTTTTAAATTAGAAATTTTTTTTTAAACTGCTAGCAGCTAGGCTTAAAAAAATATGCATTTACGTAACAACTCTGATGAAAGTTGCTTTGCAGCATGGTATACACAAGATGCCTAACTATAGGCAGACAATTTTTTTAGGGGGGAGGGGGAGTGTCTGATATAGATCATTGATTAAATATTAAGGTTAAGTTTGAATATCAAACATGTTTGCTTTTAGAATTCATTTTATCATACAAGAAAATCCAAAGAGAAAATTTTTCAGGAACATATCACTTGTAAGTATTGATGCTATAGGGAGCTGTGTCAAAGCTGGTATTTCCTACTAGAAGTTTACAATCAAGCAATACATGTACTAGCTGATTAAATCTTTAGCTTTATCCAACACGCAATATACATACCAGGTACGAACTATATTTATTTTATGTAGAGTCATATCGGATTCCATACATGTGAGTTGTGAAAGTAATCATTTTTTATTGGCTGTTATACAACTTCTACATATTACATGGATGGAACTCTACAGAATCCTAATAAGTCTGATGTACATACAGATGCCATGTGCATAAAAATCAATTTAGAGACACTCAGGATTTTTATAGTTTGAAGGACGATACGGAAGCTAAAATCAATTTTCTCCTCTTACTAGTAGGTGTAATGATGCATTCTTGGATTTTACCTTTTAAATCTCAGTTTTGATTTAAGAGAGAGGGAAAAAATGATGCTGTAACAGATGTTTACTTGATTAAAAGGCAAGATTTAATCAAAGAGTAAAGTCTGCATTGCCTTAAGGAGAACGAATCAGAAAAAAATAATTGACGAATTTGAATAATATTACTTTACACATTTCGACAAATACAAAATGCCCACATGGTGCAGTGGTTAGAGCATTTACTCTAGAGTCACAAAGTGAGAAGTAGATCCATACTTCGTGGGTTCAAATCACTGTGGGACATTGAGACTGGTTCTTCGGATGAGACCGTATAAACCAAGGTCCTGTTTCCAAATATAGATTGTGGCATGAAAAAGATTCCTCAATGCTCAATGTCCCTGAGTGCCAAGTATAGGAAAAATTTGCAGCTCCCCATCAGAAAATGGTGGCATCTCCATATGAGTGAAAAATTCTGGAGAGGGATGTTAAACAGCATACATATTAACAACGAATACAAAAAACTAAATTAACACATTAAATGGAGACTAAGCAACATCCTCAATCTTATTTAAATTTAGCTGAATCTTTTTATGAATGTCTAATGACTTATGTGTGTCCAGACAGAGTTCAAGTTGACCCATAAAACTGGAATATTTTACTTCTTCCAATGTCAAATATAAATAGAACAAGCAATGTTTGTAAAACACTTATCCCACCCTTCGTGCAACCTCTGCAAAGAAAATGAATGGAAACTGATGGTGAACCGACAGACAGCAGGCAAAGCAATATGCCCTCCTTTCTTCAAAGGGAGACATAAAAACAACTTTAAATGTCTCTCTAAGAATGAACCATTTGCTCCAAAAAGTGGAACATCTGATTTTAGACTAACTTACCAATGTTACTGATGTCTGTGGTGTTGGGGCCGGGCTCTGTTGTTAATCCAGGTGCCATGACAACACCCCAACAACCATCCAATCATTGCTTCCAGCACCTACAAACAGTCATACAACTGTTAGCAATCATAAAGAAGGAAGTAATTTTGTAAATGAAAAAAAGAAACATTCAGTTATTTGAATATTTCATAGGTCAATCATTCATACTAATGGAATTTCTACACTATAAAATCTAGCAGCTAGGAGTAGAACTTGACGAACCAGTGCATGAACACGAAACACCTTAATTTTCTGAGGTTCATGATTGGCAAAAACAACTTCAACAATAGTTCAATGCACAGAAATTTAATTTCACTGAAAGACACTGAGATAGTGAACATCTCCTAGAGTCAAGGTTAAATATATACAAAGGACATGGTGTAAATGGGGATTTGTAGAGGATTTTGGGTTAAGGTAATTAAACCAAACTAGACCATGGAAGGAAAAATACATTCTATAACAGATTTCACACACAGACTTGTTCTGACCTTGGCCTTCGACCCAGACACTTATACAAACACACTGGAGCAAGGGCAAACCTATTTCTAGAGTAAAGAATATTCCAGAGGATTTTATACTCAGAAAGTGGATGCTGCATGGCTTAGTCTGAGCACATACACAGTTCTTTGACAGAAAACTTGTTCCCATTCACCTTGGTAGTTGAATTTCATGACAAATTGACAACTCTTCCAATATTAACAAGATCAAAAGTTCTGTGAGAAACTAGCTGATATACATCTATCTTAAAATGAATAAAGAAATCAATGTCTGCATCTAAGTAGAGAAAAAACCCCATAAATTCTGTAGATTGGAGCCCCATAGAGAGTATTAAATCTCAGGGAAAAAGAGAAAATGTGTTAGTTAGAATATGACAGACCTGTAATTCAATCTATCGTACCCTATAATTCTCCCTTATAATCATTAATCCTCTGTCAAATAGTCCTGCTCTGGTTACCGGCCAGGATAATGCCCTTAATGATGATGCAACTTGTTCTTATGGAGGAGAAATTCTATAGCTGTGAACAAGTCAACAGGAATACTGGTTTGATTGGTTAATCACAGAATGGTGTCATATGTGTCATATATAGACCACACTGTGTCAAATTTACTTCAAATCACTTTGAGAGAAAAATGTCAACTTTAAAATTATTCAAATCTAGACTAATTGGTTAATTAATGTCATCAACCTTGGTTAGCATGATTAGCTAATTTTTTTTTTTCTGAACCACAGAGCTACAGTTCTGCAGCTATATATTCACCTTTGTGTATAGCTGTATTCCTGTCTGATATAACTCCAATATAATATCACGAATGTGACAATGTTATGTTAAATGCAGGTGTCAATGCAGATTGTCAATTACTGTAAAATCACGTATTTTTGTTGGGTCTTTTCATGGTTTGAGGAAAAACTCTTGGTTTGCGGGGATTTGATTTCGTTGATGAGGATTTGTTGAGTAGCTATGTATGTAGCAGCAGATCTGTATCATTATGGTTTTATATATTTGTCTTTGACCATAATGCTACAGATCCCGTAATGCAAAAAAGGTGCAATTTACAGCACAATATTTTTTGTGCACTTTTGGGGAGAATTTCTCCTCTTTTTAGCATTGGTCAATCAAGTACCTTTCACTCCCTAATGCTAGACATATTCTGTAGCCAATAGGTATATTTTATCCACCTCCCAACCATTTATAGTTGTCTCTACAGACAATAAACTTGTTTGAAGTGAATTTTAATTAAGCGAGTTTATCACTTGTAGAGACGAATATATAGGGTTTGGAGATGGATGATATATACAGATTAGTTAAATAATGTGCCTAGAATTAGGGAGTGAAAGGTAGTTAATTGACCGATGCTGGAAAGTGGAGAAATTCTCCCCAAAAGTGCGCAAAAAATATTGCGCCGTATATTGCACCTTTTTTGCATTACGGGATCTGTAGCGTTATGGTCAAAGACAAATATTATATAAGAAGATTATTTTCTTAGTTTTCATTGGCTGAAGGTACGTCACGTGATATTCCTCCTTTTGTGATATCGATGCGAAAGAGCGTCCGGGGAAAATAATATTGCACGACACGCCGTTCGGTTGCACTAAAGTTGCATAGTACGTGACGTCATAATATAAGAAGCGTGAATTTAACCATTGAGACGTAATGACAGCCAAGTCTGTTCAGTTAGGACTGTGTCAGTACATTCAATTTGAGTGATTATATAATATAACTATTATGGACTTCAGTGAACGGTCAATATGTGGTTATAAGGACTCATGGCAATATTGATATTGACCTCAGACAGTCAGACACAGAAAATGATAGCGACCTCACAGGCTCGGTCGCTATCACTTTCTGTGTCTTCGGTCAATATCAATTGCCATGAGTCCTTATAACCACATATCGACCTACACTGAAGTCCATAATTGTATAATATATAAAACAATAACGCTACAGATCTGCAGCTACTATGTACGTAGCATTTAACATTTCGTGGGGGACATTAATTCCTGGGTCTCATCAATCATACCTTAAAAACAATGAAAATTAACCCCCCCATAAAAATTTTTGATTTCACAGTAAAACTTGTATTAAAGACGTTCCACTTTGGTCTTCTCAGAATGATCAGAGGCCTTTAAAGATTAAAATTGCTTTTTCATTAATGGTTCAATTACATTCACTTTTTTTCCATTAAATTGTTGTTAAAAAATTTTTTGCAAAATTCTTCCAAAAACTATTGGAAAAGGCTTTTTAAAAATTATCATTTGAAAAACACATACTATGATTTAAGCCAACAGAATGCAAGGATATATATACTTGTATAATCTTAAAATTTATAAGCAAAAGAACTGAAAAAGAAACGTCTAAAGAAGTCAATATCCTAACGGGCCCTCGGAGACAGCACTGAATATCTTTAAAGGGAAAAACAAGACTGTTGTGTCACCGAAGTCATTTGAAGCTATTCAGATTGCTATAGGTGTTATTGTATCATTATGGGGTGATTTTTAGAAAACATAAAAAAGGGAAAAAGTTTAAAAGTCTTAAAACAACTAATGATGACAACATCTGATTATAGTGCTTACAACAGGAATCGTTAATATTAGTTTTTTAGGACATAAATTAACTTTGATCTTAAAAGTCCCTGGCCCTAAAACCCTTTCCCCAAAAATAATAAATAATTTTTTTTTTTTTTACCTGATTTTAGGTAAATTTGCATAATTGTAACACATGTTGAGCAGACTGCATTTTTTTTTCATGTGTTTGAAAAAGTATACATAAACATACAACTAACAAGCACAGAATTATGTTTCTTAGGTGTGTAGTTTACTTGTGTGTCATTTAGTTAAATAAAATATCAGTTCAAAACTGTAGGAAGAGTACTTGTAGCCTTTTAAAGAAATTTCAAGGTAAATTTTATTTTTAGTAACCATGGCAACATCATTCTTCAAAATCAAAAACAAAAACAGATACACTGAATTATGTGTATCTTTTTTGTAGTGTACTTGTGTGCCAAGTTATATTGAAATCAGAACAAAACTGTATGAAGAGGAGCATTTTGGAAAAAAAAAACATATATATATATATATATATGTGATATACAGATGGTCAGCAAGACATCTACAAAGACAGATGGACATCAGACACCTAACCAGTAAAACTTAAAATCATATCCATTGCCAACATCATTTTATAGTTTTTAGTCTTTTTTTTATTTTGCTAAATATTAGCTGCAGACTTGTAGCTCCTTAGTCTGAAAAAAAGGATGGACAATCAGCTTCAAATGACAGCTTTGACGATCCCAAATTTCAGAAGAAAGGTAGTATAAAGGAGAACGGAAGGCAGACCAGGGCAAAGTCAGTGAATAAATTTTCCTTCTTCAGGATATTAACTTATGGACAAAACATGCAGTTTGTTCAAACATAAAAAGGGAAATCTGACATGAAAGGAAATAATCATATTACAAAATTATAGTTTACCAATCCATTATTTGTCTATACATTTTTCCATATGAGCTCCATTTCTGACAGGTGCTCTTTTAGTATTTTCTAAAATGCTAATGAAAAATGAAAATCCTTAATAGAAATCGAGTAATCTGGAATATAAGGGTTTGGATCACTCCTATAAACATTTGCTAGACAGACAAGAACTATTCATTCTGGTTTAATGTTCAAAAAAAAATTATTAATTTTAAGAACTATGCAGCTGGTCATTGTGGTTATTGCATTTTAATATTTTAAGTTTTTTTTTTTTATATTCAACATGCAAATGTTTGATTATTTTTTTCATGTCAAAATTCTTGTTCTCTACAGAAAACATATTTAATATAAAAAAATGTTTAAAAAAGGGAGGTTTCATTAGCATAGTGTTTTTCATTCCCCTTGGTTTAAAAAATTGGGGATTTAACAGACATAGTGAGCAAAATTGCCCACCCCTAAATTGTTAAAAGCAAGTTTTAAATAGTTGGCATTTTCAATAAAATTTAAAAAAATTCCACAAAATTTAGGACAACAAGATGTTTATAGTTTAATATAAATGTACAAACTTTTAAAAACATAAAAGCCAACTGAATAAAATTCAAATTTAAAATCCAATGAAATTTGGTCATAAATTAGGGAAAAAAAAATACCATGAAAAACCCTTTTTCAAACCCCATGAAGATGGTGTTTTACAGTTAAACAGACACATTGACAGATGAACAATATTTCTCTTGCTTTTGTGAAAAGGGGGGACACAAAAATATAAAAAACCCTTTTTTTTTTTCTAAACTTCATTCTTAGGAAATCATTCCCTATTTAAAGCTTATCTTTATTTATTTAAGCACAATCTTCAGATATAGTTCCTGAAAATCAAATCTCATCTTCTAAGAAAAAAGTCCCGAAGACCTCAAAAGATACAATTTGATAAAAGGCTAGGTTTTCACCATGGGAATAAATCCATCCATACAGGTAGACAGGGGCAAAAACATCAGTCCCCAGTATCATGTACACCTTATCTTTAACTCCAAACTTTAATTAAGTTTAACTTCCTCATGGCAGATTTTTTTTTTACTATTTTAGTTCAGAAACAAGT